AATCATACCATACAAAAATTATCATGCAAATATATTGTAAATTATATCAAACATCATAATATCATGCTTAGATCATGCTAAACTGTTCATGCAAAAATGTTATGCAAATATATCAATTATCATGCAATAATAATAATCATGTAAATATATAATATCATGCAAATATATTATCATGCAATAATATAAAATACTATGCAAATATATAATCATGAAATAAATATATTATTAATCATACAATTACACAAATAAATAATTTAATAATCATGCAAATAGATATGCAATTAAATATATAATCATGTAAATAAAAATACATAAACCGTACAAATAAACATGCAATTAAATATATAATTATGCAAATAATAATATAAAAATCATGCTATCATGTAAATAATAATATATAAACCATGCAAAATATGCAAATAAATATATAATCATGCAAATAAACATGTAATTAAATATATAATTATGCAAATAAATATATTAATAATCATGCAATCAAATTAAATATAATCATACAAATATATTAATAAATCACATAAATAAATATATTAATCATGCAAACAAAAATATTAGGCAAATAAATTATCATGCAAATATAATATTAATCATACAAATTCATGCAAAAATAAATACCATGCAATAAATATAAAAATAAGAGTAAGCAATTAAATATTATAATAATTATGCAAAAATCACCAAAAAAAGTAAATATTACCTCAATGGATCACGGATTTTAACAATTTTTCAGCTTTCAAAAGCTGATGCTTTATAGTATAAATCTTAACCTTTTTTTTTCCAAAAACTCCAATTGGATCTTCTTGTAATTTTTTTTTTTTTGCTTGTTGCTTTTTCCTTGTTGATTCAAAACTTTGTCTAAATTTTCTCTTGTTTCAATTATCTATATTTGATCTTGAAGTGAATTATTAATAAGCTCATTTTTTTATCACAAATTTAAGATCATTATATAGGGATTGAATCACTTTCGATTTAAAAGAAATTAATTCAATCAAATTTAAAATTTTTCATTAAATTTTATTTTCTGTGTAATCTTCTCTTTTTCAATAGATTGAGTCTCAAATATTTCCAAAATTTTTCAACCATTAAAGTTATAATCTGAGATAGAATTCAAAGGTTAAATTGAATCCAAGATCGTTCATGCAAAATCTCAAATTTTCTTTTTTTATTTTTACCATTTTTTATTTTTTTATCAATTGACTTGGACTTTTTTAACTAAACAAAACAAAAATTAAACTAAAAAAAATTAAAATACAAATAAAATTTAGGATTTAATCATTGAGCCCAAAATTCACTTTTTCAATTAAAACCCAATTACACAATCAAAATCAAAATTTGAAGTCTAATGAATTTCGAAATATCCCTGGACCAAATGGGGTGTCCACACAAGTGATTTGTTTATCAAACCAGATATAAAGACCTTTTATGTTCATTTTACAGCAACTACTCCAAACTTGGTGCAACTTCAGTAGGGTTTGATTCAAATACATCTGAATATAGGCATGAGGTGCTTCTAAAAGCTCTCGAGATTGGATAGACTCTTTGTGCGCAGGCGTCTCCTTAAAATCTGTTGCCCCTTCGTTGTAAGTAGCCACAGCAATCCCACATGCAATTAACTGATAAAATAGAATGCAAGACCTCAGATTGAAGGATAGACTCTTTGTGCGCAGGCGTCTCCTTAAAATCTGTTGCCCCTTCGTTGTAAGTAGCCACAGCAATCCCACATGCAATTAACTGATAAAATAGAATGCAAGACCTCAGATTGAAGGATCATCAAACAGTGTCTTTTCAAAGCAATTTTGGATAAAAAGCAGAAGCCAAGCAGAATATTTCACATGTACCAACAGGTTAGAACTTTCCGGCATCGTTATGAAAAACAGGACTCCTCTTGTCATTCATCAAAGAATACAGCAATCACAAGCTAACAAGCATAGAAATAGATATAAATTGGTGGTCTAGATTCTCCCACTATTTCTCAAAAGGGCTTTTAAATAGATAAACTAGCAAAATCTTTTAGCAGAAATTTTCTCCACCTAATTGTCTAGACTTTAGTTTTTGAACCATATGAAAGAGACCTTTCTCAACCATTGTCTTCAAAGAAATATATAATTTGATCTGCAACAGGTGATGAACAAGATACTTAGATCAATCACCTACCTAACTTCTCAAAGCATCTTTCAAGTAATGTGGATCATGAAAGAATGGCCAATCTAATTAGACGTGTTACGAAAAGAGAAGGATAAACTGTAAGGTTAGAAAGTTGTCATATAACTTTCAATCTTCAGCAATTTTAGCTCATTAAGTCAGATCTCAATTGTGTCAAGTCCTGTTGAGTCACATCAATATTTCCCAGAGCATGTGCCAAAGATTTTACATAGAAGAAACTATGAGGACTACCAATTACCCTTCTACGAAATGATTGTAACACTCTGCGAAATTTCCATACTAGGCCAGAGAGTGGAAGGGGCATTTCTTTCCTTTTCCGTGTAAGCTAATGTAAAATTTTAAACCATAAACAAACTTTGTATTCCATGGTTCACAAAACTTGGAAAGCACGTCTTTACTTGCGAAAGGCACAAAACTGGGCTTTTAAGTCCAGGTGCTCTGTGCTCTCCACCCGACTTCCCTAATTCCCATCGTAAATTTGAGAAAAGAAAATCACAAATTTCGTTCTAGCTACCTTGTTGTGCAACCATATTCAAACAACAACTTCAAAAATTTTCATATTAGTCTCTCAAATCATAATTCTCAAAATCCTATGGATGTGCCTATTTTGTGGTTACCTATACTTTTTCTTCATTCCTTTAGTCCCCTCCTAGAGGTCTAAGAGAAAGGATTCTATGAAATAGATAGTTACTGCACGTGAGCGTATATCATTCAAATTATGCCACGTAACCTTGTTCTTGAAAATTTTCAACTATTGATTACAAAAGTCATTTATTGGTCTCAAATAAATATTCACCATTTATAAATAACATGCAGTTTGTAGTAATAGGAACTAAATTATATGATAAGAGTTGAATGAAACTGACATATATTGATGTGAAGTGTTTAATTTATAAAATTTTTTTTTATGAAATATAGCAATTATCTCATATTGTGTACTAACAAAATAATTAATCCGAACTTAGGTCAATAATTTTAATTAAGTATGATTTTGATTTAATTTTATATCTAAATTAATAATGAGATGAATCAATTTTAATTGACATGTTATAGGAGGTTCCTATTTTAACCTCTTTATATATATATATATATATATATATATATGAAATCAGCACACTAAGCTTCATAACTTCAGTTTTTGAAAGTAGAGTGCAATTCCCTACATGTCTCTGTGCATGTCACTGTTCGAAGCTCGGGATGTGACATCGGGAAGCACAAGTTGGCGGCCTCACTCCCATGGACCTAGGTTAAGTAGGATTGAGCTCTATCCCAAATTCAGGTCATTTTTAATTTTGGTTTAAAATTGTGTTAGTAACTCGCGAGATTTTGAGCAAATCCAACATGAAAACCAAACAACTCACTATGAACAATGCTTTTTTATTTTTCCCTTTGTCAAACAATTTGTAACTCCATCACATAGCTATCTGATTCTATCAGAGCAGAATTTCCAGTTTATTGACACATCTTCTCAGCTCATAAATTCTTCAAGAAATGAATTTTGAACCTAAAATCTCCAAACCCAAAGTCAAGTTCCAAGCATTTGGATGTCCTATCGAAAACAATACAGGCAGAAATTTACCCTTGCCACCAACAGTATCATTTTCTTAAATTTTGTCATTTTTATTGAAACCAACTAATTCTAATCCTTCAGACGCTTATATTAATTCAAAAACGAATCATTCCGGGCATGGTCATAATCAAATCGAACAATAAAAAGGAAAAAATCCTAAAAGGCACCGGTTAGAGTACTGAGAGACACCGCGAAAACGACGCCAAAAGCCCACAAATACTGAAGAACGAAACCAAGAACATCCCACTGGGGACCTTCCCACAAATCCAGCTGAAGACCACGAAGTTCCGGAAATGGTTTCCCATCAGCCGAAACCTCAGACGAACTCCCACCAACGTTATTTAAGCCAACCCCAACAGCTGCATTTTCTTCTTCAATCTCCGTCGTCCATTTTTGCTCTTGTTCCTCATCTTGTTCTTTCGTTGTGACAGTGGTCCTCCGGTTCGAGACGAGAACTTTTTGGCTGCGGAGGTTAAGTGGAGGATTCTTCTGGAAATGATGGGGAAGAGGACGTAGCGGCGAGGAGGGAGAAGGGTGTAGAATTGTTTTGTCGGGTTGTCACAGAGGATTCGGACTCCACTGCCACTAGTACTACTGCTACTGCTACCGTGGCTGATGCTCATGGCAAGCGCCATTTGAGTGGAGGAGAGTGATGAACAGGATAAGAATGTTCGCAGTTAGTACCAAGATTTTAGTATTATTTTAATTGTTTCTAAAAAAAATATTTTGCATGGGTCTAATAATTCCATGGGCTCTCTCAAGTCTGAAGCCCAAGTTCTTGTATTTCTGAAAACTGTAATCATCTTTAAAGTACAGATATTTTAGTTTATTAAAAGTTCGATTAATTTTTAAATTTTTTTTTAAAAAAAATTTAAAAATAAATAAATTATTCAATCTTTAAAATTAAAATAAAATATATCATATTTAATAATTTAAAATAAATAATTATAGATTATATATTTAATATGACTTCAATAAATAATCATCAATAAAACTCATAAATTAATTTTTTAAATTCAAACTTTAGTTCAACTGTCTAATATAAATGAGCATATTTAAAATTCAAATAAAATCTTACTGCACATAATGCCTCCTTTCATTTTCAAATTATCATATTTTATGTATAAATAGTTTTATTTATTTCCTTATTTTATTTTATTATATATTATACAAAAATATATAACCGATATGAACAATCGAGATTATAATTTTTTTTTAAATCCAATTTGAATCTCTCTTCTCTTTGATGAAAAAAAATATAACACTAACAATCATCGGCTTAGACTTGAATTATTTGGCCGAAGACTTTTATTTTGGGTTCATATAGCGTATCATCACGGTTGCATATCCTTGCTCTTAATTGGGGTGATTTAACTCCAATTTTACAAGGGAAGAAAAATATAAATCCAAGAATCCAATTATTTTCAATTATCTTTCGTATCATTTATAAATCCAACAAATTGCTAGTAACTTTGTTAAGCATAACAACTGCTATGTTTCATTCAGAAATTTTCACATCTATTACTTTGCATTTTCTTTTCAATTTACTTCCTACTTTAATAATTACCCTAAATTTACAACATACTATCTCCATCTCAACAATTCGAAACGTTACGAAACGGCACTGAAACGTTTCGATTGTTTCGTCAATTTTTTTCTACAATGCGGAAAGCGATTCGGACCGCCATGTCAGCTCCGAAATATCTACCGTCGGTTCGAATAAGCCTCCTAACACCACAAAATCAACGCTATTTGTATGATTGTTGTTGGTACCCGAGTCACCTCCGATTTCCAACTCAAACGATTCGTAACTCGGAATCGGGAATTCATACCCCAACATTTCCCCACATCCAGCGGCTCCTGAACCTCCACCTTCCTCCACATTAACGGTACCAAATTTCTGCTCCTCCTCAAGAGACGAAAAACTCGGCGGCAAACCCAATTCATCATCCGAAGCCTCCAAAAGAAATCCTAGCTCCGGCTGGGACTCGCCGGAATGCGATGTCATTACCGGTACCGGCACCTGAGCCGGAACTAGGATCTCTTCTTCGAAGCTTTTGATGACCGAGTCGAGTCCTTGAATAATTGGGTCAGGTCCAATGACCGGGTCCGAATCATCAAGGATGTTCAGCAGATCCTCCTGGATACGCTTTGCCTCCGGCGACCGAACGTCCCCGTTATTGGGGTCGGGTTCCACGTGGGTAGCCTCGGGCCAGTTAGGGCCCGCATGGGCCGAGTCGACTCGAGCGAGTTTTAAATTGGAGACGGCTTCAGCCTCTAACTCAGAATACTCAGAGTCTACCCGGGCTCTCTTCTTGTTACCTTTGTTATCCTCCATTGCCATTGGTAAATGTCTTCAGTTTCAAAACAAAAACAACCTTACTGTTTCATCAAAAAAAGAAAAAACCTTAGCGTTCAATGTAGCAAGTTGTCGTAGGATTGAGCAGAACAAGAGAGAGGGAAGGTGGATTTTATAAGGTACAAAAGGGTATAAAATTTTCAAGTATTAGAGAGCGTTTGGCTAGCGAGAAAATAGATAAAAGAAGAGGGAGAAAATAAAAATTAAAAAGAACAAAAGGGAGATAGTGGGAATTTTAAGAGAGTGAGAGTGTACAGAGAGAAAATGCGTGGTGCTGGGTGACTGGGAGAGAGATAAGGAATGGGTATATATACAGGGCAAATTTTGATTTTACCTTTTTTTAACATTTATTATAGAAAGAAAAATGAGATTGAAATTATAAATTATTTATTTAATCTAGATAAAGATGGGCGCGTGTTGGGCGGAGGCAAAAAAAGGTCAGGTTCCCTTTGATGAGTCATTCACGGGACTCTGTCTTTTTTTTATTATTTTTTCTGTCTCTTTGTTAGTTTTTCTCTTTTCTTTTATTTTATATTTTTGGGGGTTTGTTTGCTTTTCTGTCAAATTAACTAAATTTAAATCTAGGAGTTTGAAGTCCGTTGCGAGGGGGCCCACTGAATTAGGAGGAGTGGGAAATAGTGTGGTGAGCTTTGCTTGTTTTTGCAGTCTACCCTTTTTCTTTCTTTAATTTGCAGCTGCCGGCCATTTTTAAGCTTTGATTTTTTGACTTGTTCTTTCTTTTCTTGTTCAAGGGATTTTTTTTTCTTTTTATACTGTTACCGGGTATTCAAGGTTTTAATAGGTGGCTGCCATTTTTTGCTCTAATTTACTAACTTTATCTTTTTATTTTTTCCTGTTTGGGTTTTAAAAAAAATTGTTGGTTCGAGGTTTCACACTGATCAAAATCGAAGTCCCATGTAGATGAGCTCTATAACTTTAAATTTTTTTTTAACGTCCGGCACTTCGTTTCAGGATTTTTTTTATTTGAGAATATTTATTTTATTTTAATAATATAAATTGATTAAAAATATATTTTGTGAATAAATATATTATAATAATTTACTGAATATTAATTCAATCTTTATTTTTAATAATTAAAATTTTAAATTCATTTAACAATTTAAAATAAGTACTTTACTTCATAAACTTAATTACAATTAAATTTTTAATAATTAGTGGATATGCCATTTTTTAAGACGTTGGAATCCAAAATTTTCTTATCTGATGCGGCAACGAAATTTCAATGAAATTTTAGAGGACAAAACAAAGAGAGAGAGTGAGAGAGACAGAGAGAGAATTAGGTGCCATCCTTCTCTAGGTGGGTACATCTTAGATCTGCAATTAGTGGGGTCCATCTCTAGATCTCTACGCAATATTATCACATCCCAAATTCTTAAAAAAAAAAAAATCACCTTACACCACTCAAATAATACCTATAAATTTTAACATTCCGTAAAAAATAATTATATATTTTTTAAATTAAAAAAAAATTATTATTTAAATAAATTAATAAAAAATATTTTTTATTGTTCGATTATATTTTGAAATTTTTATTTTTTTCAAATAATATTAATATTATTATTAAAATATTAAAAATTATTTATGATTAAAATATATTGAATTATTTATAATTAAAATTATTAATATTAAAAATAATTATATTTTAATAATAATATTTAGTATTAAAATATTATATTAATATAAAATATTTAAAATAAAACTATTTATTATTTTTATATTATTTATTAATATATTAATATTATTTATTAATAATATATTATGTATTAATATTAATATATTAGTATAATATTTATTAATATATTATTTATTAAAATTATATTAAAAATATTCATAAATAATTCTATTCATAAATAATTATTTTTTAAAAATATATTTTTAAATTCTTAAGATAATTTTTTAAAAATACTTCATTTTTTATTAATTAATAAATTATTTTTTGTTAATTAATTAATTTTTTATCAGATAAATATTTAAAAATATAAAAATTATTTTTTACAAAATATACAGAACTTAAATATAATAAAAGTATCCTTTATTAATTAATTAATCCTAAATCTAGACCTACTAACTCTATCTGGGTCCCACCTCTATATCTTTCGCTGCGTACCCAATTCTACAACTTTTCCTGAGCAGAATTTTCCAAGCCGAGCCAACCTATCCTTATTGGAGGCGACTCGACTATTCTTTCACCAATTTTGAGCGTAAGCCCTGCGGCTCATGTTCATGCACGGCGCCACGTCATCACAAACTAGCCGCATGTTTTTGCCGCCAAAATAGTCGACGTGGAACCGGGACATTACCGGCTGCTGCTCAACTGTACAGACACAGCCCATGTTTTCTGTGTACTGGCTCTTCCGGTATATCAAGTTTAGTAGTAGGAAATTACGAGGGCGATTGAAAAAGCGACACGTGGAGTAGGTTAGCACGATATAATATCACATGCTAGGGGTGGTGTTTCTATTATCATCAATTAGATGAGGGTTAAGTTAGAAATGTCAGTCATGCCCGGTTTTTGACGTTTGTGGTGTCGTGTGATTCACGATGGGGGAGGTGGGGTTATCAATAACTACCTTAGATATTTTCTTCGGATCTTTCTAGATAAAACTAGAATTACTAGAAGGACACGTACTTTTTGCTTTGAGTTCTCTCTTTTTCCTAAATTTTTTGTAATGTTTTGCTTGATGCTTGGTTGACTAGAATACTCCGTTCCCATTTGGATTCAGATTTTCTGCTCTTTAATATTTCCATATAAAAATGCATTTAACTAGTATATTTTGATCTCATGATCATATAATCTCAAATTGTTTGTTTATTTATGGTAAATTAATTAAAAATCATATTAAATTAATTTTTGTAATGATAAATTATTTTATCTTTTTAAATGAGAAACATAGTATTATAGGAGACAATAATCTTTATCATTATAGGAGTTTAAGATTAATATCAAGTAAAATTTCTTAATTGGCAATAAATAAGTGATGTAATTATTTAATATAGACCAAAATAAACATATGACTTTGATGCAACAAAGAGAAGTATTGAAAATTTTTTTCATAAAAATGTTTCATAATTTGAGTATGTGATCATCATGTGACTGGTTAGTATTTGAATTTGTGAGTGGCATGGTAATTGATAATAGATCAAAACAATAAGGTGTGGATGAAAATGTAAAATGTTAAAGTGTACTACACATTATTGAAGAAGATCTTGGAGGACAATTGAAAATCCTTTTATAAATTGCAAAGAAGCATCATAGGAGATAGATATCTCACCCAAATAAAATAGCCCAAATATTCCAAATTATGCCAGCAAAATTTTTTTATTATTATTATTTTGAAGTAGATAATCTATCAATTAATACTAAACAATGTTATATCTTTTATATTCACAATTAATGCTCACTAAGAATCATCAAAATTATTCGAATTTGAAATCACTTATTTTAAGACAAGCAAATTTAAAAGTTTAATTAATCTTTCTCAATCAAAGAGAAAAACAATTATATTACTCTTATACCTATGTGATTTCAAATTATCTCACTTAACACCTTGTGAAAGTATAAATTTATTAATTTTATTGAATTTTATAATTGTACTTTCATTTTTAGCAATTTTTTAATCAAAATTAATGAGAACAGAATATTTCATAAAATATTTTGTTAATATATTTAAAATAAAAATATCTGATACGAATATTTTACCTATAGTGAAAAACACATTGCTTATCACAGTGAATAATAAATTTTTTAATCAAATTAAAAAAAATGTCTAATTTTAAAATTTTGATCACTGACTTTAGTTTAATTCCTAAGTACAATATTAAAGTTATACACGCTAAAACACAAAATACTCTGTCTATATATTTATTGTTATCATTATTATTATTTTGATAGAAAAGTATTAGTAGTTGAATATATGTAGGATGGACAAAGATTGAAATTTGGGCCAAAAATTGCGATTAATGATTCAGTGTAAAAAAAAAAAAATCAGGGAAAGGCATCTTGGGCCTTAGTCGACAAGTTGTGCTAGTAAAATCACATGACCTTCCGCCATAGGCAAAGATGATGCTTACGTAAACAAACATCCAGATACGTAAAAGGAGCACACATTCCTTGCCTACTGCCCGTTGCTACTTCTACTACTTGCTTATTGTTTTTTAGTTTTGATTCCTGTCGTAACCAATTCAATTTGTATTTTTTATTATTTAAAATCTTAATAATTTATAAATTTGTATTATATAAAATATTAATAATTTATATAATTATATTATATTTTATATAAAAGTTATATATCATAATTCATATTAACATAAAAATATAATATATATTTTAATTTTATTAAATTTATATATTTTTTATTAAAATTTTTAATCATATCTCTTTCATAATTTTTTATCTTATTTTCATATTATATCACTTATATTTTAAATTATCAAATTTAATTAAACACTTCTTATTCACAATAATTGCTCCTCCTTCCACCGCCCATCCTATCTCCATGTGCCATTTCTTTGGTCACTCCATTTTCGACGACAAGATTCATCCCTTGATTCGTTTCATTTGCTCTTCTAGAAAAATATAAAATATTTTATATAATAGTTTTTAAAAATTTGTTAATCCAAATTTATTTTTAACGTGCTCTCATATTATTATAAAAATTATAATATTGTCATATGCTCGTTTATTATATTAATTTATTAAAATTTTAAATATAATTTAATAAAATATGTAACAATTTCTAATCTTACTTGAGAAGTTTTAAAACTTCATTTACAATATATATAAGATAATAATTGTTATATTACTTCTTATCACTTTAAATTGTATGTTCAAATTAATTTGATTTCACAATTTTATTTTAATGTCAAATATCAAACTCATCGTATATATTTTGCTTGTTCAAATTTATTTATAAATTATAATTTTATATAATATACGAAATTAATATTGTTATATAATTTAAATTAAATAGAAAGAATTAAAAAATTATTGTAAATTTATTTTTGGTGAATAATACTCAAGGAAATTTTCTTAAAAATGAGAATATACTCTTGATCATTTATTGCATGAAATTGAAGCTATAAATATTTATTTTATTATAATTAGTGTAGACATTTCATTTAGTCTCGAATCTAAACCAGTTGAGCTTGATCAAATTCAAAGCTCAAATGCCCAATTTTTTTATTTTACTTAATTTATTTATTTTTATTCTTTAATTTATAATTTAAGTTGTATTTTTACTCTTATTTTATTTATTTATTTGTTTATTTTTATTATTTATCTTTAGTTATTG